TTTAGGAATTTAACCAATTTTCTTAAGCCGTAGCTGTGTTCGTGTAGGTTACTCGTGTGCAAATGGTCCTAGGCCAGCCAGTTATGTTGATGGCGGCATAATGAACTCAACTAGCATAAGGGTAGTGAGAGTTGGACTCTGAAGTGACTGCATGCTGATATCCCTCATGGCGATGGGCAGGTGGGGCATTGTAATATGGCATGCATGTGAATTAGAGTCCCCAGTTGGGTGGCGGACAAACTATTTGTTGCCAACTGATTCACATGTGTCAAGCCAGTCACATTTCCTCCCCAACCATCAATTCCCCTCCCCACCATTTTCATAATATATCAGATACTAACTGTCCTGGCTATGACATTTCGCGTGCGTACACTCTGTTTAAGTTAGGGAGCCTTGCTGGAATAGGAACAACATAATTTTGAATTTTAATTTTCTTCTAAAGTTGTTAAGGATTGTACATCTTTCTAACCACTGGGCCCAGTTGTGTTGTCACTTAAAATTAAATAACAGAAAATTTGTGATCTCAAGGTAAGAAGCAGGATGCTTGCATGGCTGTGACATGTCTTATTACACGTAAGAATTGAACACAGTAGAAAACCAGCCTTTGAACTTGAAAAGAAACACGCAGGCCTACCAGAACCTACTTCATAGGCTCGGTTTGTTTCGAGATCTGAATTACATGCAGTGCTGCTACTTCAGTGTAACACTTGACAGTATGTGTGGAAAAAACATTTTTTTTTTCATATGAGATTTTGCGATTTTAATTGAGTGTCTGGTAACGGGTTTCCAGTTAAAAATATATTGCATTTCATTCACCGACTGGCTGAATACGGGCAATCTGATGCAAAGTCATGAACGACATTTCTGTTGTTTCCAGGCACTTAGAATGTGAAACATTTTAAAATGATTTATTACGTATAATTATACAGAGTGTCCGAGAAAGCTGTGGGGGAAAAAAGCTCGTACACGAAAAAAACATTTATTTTACAGTAGAAGCGAGCTCACAATTCAGTAGCGCAAAAGCAAATTTGGTCACCAAGTAAGTTTCACTGTGAGCGCCATTAGTTGCTCGACACACATCAAATCGCCATTTGATCCCATGTCATGTGTTCACCAGCATATCTTCAGTTACTGTCACCACTGCTGTGCGATGCTGCACACTTCGAAGACTATATTCTTGACATAACCAAGAAGAAACGTCCAATGATGTTAAGTCCGGTGATCTTGGGGTTCATGCTAGGAAACCGCCTCTTCCAGTCCTCTTGTTCGGAAAGCCTCCGTTTAAAAACTGACAGACATTATTTCCAAAATGTGGGGGAGCTATATCCTGCTTCAGCCTTGCATCAGAAGGAAGTTTTAGCACAATGTACTAGGTAATTCAGGCAGGAATGGCCTGTCGCGGTCGCTTCATGAAAAGGAAAAATGTCCAGTGTTGCGATCTTCATCAAGCCACACAACACGTTAATCTTTAGCATGTCCCTCTGTTCTTCGATGATTTCTTGAGGTGGCTGAGTACCCCAAATTATGCACTTATGCCCACGATACCATTCTGATGGAATATTGCCTCATAAAAAAGCAGTGAAAAGCCATCACTGTCAAATTTTTGCTGCATTTCATTAGAGGCACTTTTAGAGTCGCGGTCGGCTAGTTCGATGTGCTGCTGAAACTACAATTTGTATGCAGGTAAACGTAAGCGCTTGTGCACTTGTGCACTTGTGGACTGGGAAATATGCAGTTGCTTGCTGGCTGTGTAGACACGCTTACAGAATGCGCGCCTCGTCTTCGCTAGACTCATGGACGTCCTGGGAATTTGTGAGTTTCAGTGCCTGAAGTTATTCTGGGCGTCATTCCCACTTCGCAATGGAGTTTTAGCGTGGCGCTGAAACTTACGCAGAACATACGTAACGGATTTCTACTCCTCAAGTCGCGGAACCATCGCCATGGCCACCAGTGAGTGGAATGGATGTAGACTGCGCGACCGTTGATACTAACATAAAATTTGAAATTTTAAGCTCCTAAGTTGCGAGATAGTTTCCTCTGCATAATAAGTATTTTTCCGCATATAGTTTTTACGCAATTCTCGGGATATCCTGTGTTATAATTTTGTTCCGGATTTCAGTTTTTGTGGTCCTTCCTTCATTGACTTCTTCCACAAGTATATAATCATCAATCCATAAAAATTTCAGTTAATCCTCATTTCAAGGTTTTCAATAATTTTGCGGTATAGATGTCAAATGTCATTGTTCTGAAAGTTTAAAACGAACTGGTTTGGAAGCTAACATCATTATTTCATTGTCACATATGCATGTGCTTGTCTGTACGTCATATCATTAGTCAGGCATTACTGTTTACACTAGGTTTAGAAAAACACATGGGGGCTCCTCTCAAATTAGGGTGTGGGGATGAATTAGAGAGACAAGAGATTGTACAGCATGCGTTAAAAATAAAGCAGGATTCTTGTCCTGGATGCTTTTATTGTTGGAAATTTGGTATGTAAAGGTGAAAAAGTGGCAGGTGGTATTTGCCTGGCATTGTGATTATGTATTCAGTGGAAAGCAAAGTTTGTCTGTGTGTGATTATGTAATGTAGCAGTGTTATTGGTAGTATTGTTCGTGTATTCATGTGGACATCATCAATTTCTGTCCCTATGCAATTCAGGAGACAGGATGAGTTTATGTATGTGATTCTGTCAGAATGTCAGTGATAAATGTGTTGTGACTTTACAGATGCCCATGTAATGAAAAAAGCGTAAAGAACATTTTTTATTTCCTCCACGGTTACAAAGGTTGCAGTGGGATTGGGATTTCAGATGAACAGGAATGGACATGTGACGAAAAAGGAAAGAAAGACTGAAAGAAAGAAAGAAATGGTACATGGACAAACAGCAAACTGCACTTCATTTTATTATGGTGCATAGTGGCTGATTGATTAATGGGTTTAATGATCAGCATTTATCATATACTAACCTAAGTTTAAATATGAATATGCTGATATTTGTTACTTTGTTTATTCGAAAGTCTACAGGAGTGGTCTGTAAGTGATGATTGTCAAGGCAGCAGCGGTAGACTAGTTTAAGGTACTGCCCCAGCATTTACGTGGAGGAATTGAATCAGACCATGCGCCTCAGTAAAGCCAGCATGGGGCATAAAATTCAAATTTGGGTCCTCCCAGAGAAGTGTTAAACACTGCACAAGGGCGCATTTGGTAAACATTTTTTTGAGAATTGTGATTTGGACCAATTCTTCTTTGCTGATTCAAGTTAATCATAATCGTTAATGTACAAGATTCACATTATAATGACGTTCTGGTTGGTTCTCACTTGGTGGGATGTAGCATAGTTGATAGTTATCTTTTTAAATTATATATTACTGTTCATTGAGCTGTAACACATGCAAAATCCGGATAAAATAGGAGTTATTGTATTATCTGTGTTGTACCTTAGTCGACAGCTAGCAAGAACACAATATAGCATGTGTAGCCGTTACTATGCAGCGATCTTGAGATGGGCTGTTAGGGTGAGGGAACACCAAGGAAATTGGCAACCGCAATTTCCGAGAATTGTCATCAGCCTGAGTTTAATACATGTTACTGAATGGAACAGCGCAAATTGAGGAAACGGCAACGCAACTAGCGGAAAGAGGGAGAAACTCAACTTCCAGGCAATGAAGCATGCAACTCTTCTCACAATTGCGTTGCCGCGTGGTTTCCCAGCTGTTCTATAACGCGCTTCAATAATCCATTTCTTTCTTTTGATGGCACGAAAGGCTGACTAAGCTACTTTGTTTTTATGCAGTTAATTGAGCAAACGCCTGTTATAATTATGACAAACGCCACTCAAACTATGCTGGGCAGAACAAAATAGATTTGGCTTTGGAAAGAATTTCTCATGAGACGAAGAGTCTGGATCAAGGTTAAGTTCTTTCGAAACAATATACGTAAGTGCCTACATTTAAATTGTCATAGAAGAACGGATGCACCCAATGTTTTCTTTTCCTAATATTGTATTTAAGCATCCGGTTGCATTAACATATCATTTATTACACATATATTTCCGTCTTAAATGCAGCTTACTATATAGTCTCACTACTTCCACATTACATGGTTCGGCTATATACAGCCATCGTCAAGTGTCTTCTATCTTGCTAAAATTGTTGCACTGTATTTCAAAATTTCGTATCACGCGTGAACGCGATATTTCGTGATTATATTAAATTGACCTTAATTAAAACAGCTTAATTAACATTCCAGTATTTTCCTCATGGTCGTCGCCCTCTTTTTTGACACCGTCTCAACCGGCGTCAACGACCACCATGTTATGACAAGATCAGTGCTATTATTTTCCATTGCAGAAAGTAAGTGCACGAAATTAAAAAAAAATACAATCATGCATTACATCGGACGAACATACCCACTTAAGATGATGTGAGCATCTAATGAGACATAAGTTTCCTTAGTGTGCGCCTGCAAATCTGGAAGCCAGTTGCCTGCTTGAAATCGGCAATTTTTCTCGGAAATTGCCGTTGCGTTTCGGTTGCCAATTTCCTTGGTGTGCCCACGCTCTTATATCTGAGCCGTTTTTGGGCAACGGTAATCATGTTCTCGCTGCAACGACTATGCGTGCAGTGGGGGAAACGGGGTGTAGTCTACACGGTCCACGCCGAGGATTTGTAAAGAAGATAATTTAGGCAAGCAGTTCAGTTGACCTCTGCCAGGGAGGTTGAAAAGAGATGGCGGTATAGTTGAGTTGACAGTTGGTATGTGTTCTGCACGGACGGCTGTGACAAGGGGACGTGAGCGCTTGAAGCTGAAGAATCTCCACTGTTAGAAGCCGTTGCCAAGAAACGGCCGATGAAGACAGCAGGCCGGAAAAATTTGTGAATTGTGGAAATAGCGATAGCGCTGTAATTACTTGTAGTTCCGAGTGATGTGTATAAGTGGTCAGTAAATCCGTTCACCAAACCATACCCCATCTATAGTCACACCCCTAAATCGTGATAAAAATGACGCTGAAACCAGTGGCATTATTGGCATATGTTGTAGGCGTTGTGACAATATTTCATTACAAGGTGTGTCCCAAAAGTCATGGAAATATATGCCATAATATATTCACGGCGCGCGATGGCGGATACTTTCGAACAACGTTGGGCGGTCAAGTTCTGCAGAAAGCTCAACAAAAAAGCTGCCGAAACTCACGAACTGCTTAAGCAAGTCTACGGGGAGTCTGCTCTATCATATGTGCAAGTTACAAGGTGGGTGAAGACGTTTAAGGAGGGCCAGGAAGGAGTGGAAGATGACCCCCGCTCTGGACGGCCATCAACAAGCCAAACCGATGAAAACGTGACTCGTGTGCGTGATTTATTGAATACTGACCGTCGAATGACTGTCCGGTTGTTAGCCGACACTCTGAACATTCCAAAAATCGTTGTGCATCGCATCGTTATGGACGAATTGAACATGCGAAAGGTGTGCGCCAAGCTGGTCCCCAAATTGTTGACGGACGAGCAAAAGGCCAATCGAGTGTTGATCGCGAGTGAATTGAAGGAACGTGTGGAAATTGAACCTCATGTTATTACCGGTGATGAAACGTGGACATTTGAGTACGACCCAGAAACGAAGCGCCCGAGTGCTGAATGGCACACCTCGTCTTCCCCGAAGCCGAAGAAGGCGAAGATGAGCAAATCCAAAGTGAAAACAATGCTCATCGTCTTTTTCGACGCCAAGGGTGTGGTCCACAAAGAGTGTTTATCCCAAGGACAGACCGTCAACGCTCCCTACTACGTGGATGTTCTAGAAAGATTAAGGAAAAGGGTCATCCACGTGCTAAAAGACATCGGCGCTAACTGGCGGCTGCATCATGACAGTTCGCCCAGCCACACGTCTCTGCTCGTCCGTGAGTTCCTGGCGAAGCACCACGTGGCAACGCTGCCGCAGCCACCCTACAGCCCCGACCTAGCTCCGGCCGACTTCTTTTTGTTCCCGAGGATCAAGACTGCACTCAAAGGACGTCGTTTTGAAAGCATTCAGGCTATGCAAGCGGCCGTGACAACAGCTGTAAATGAGGTTCCCGTCGAGGCCTTTGAGGGGGCGTACCGGGCATGGGAGAGTCGGTGGAAAAAATGTGTAGATGCTCATGGACAGTACTTTGAAGAATATTAACACTTTGTACCGATATCATCAATAAATTAAAAAAAAATATATATATATATATATATCATGACTTTTGGGACACACCTTGTATATGTAGCGAAATAAACATTAAACATTATTGTCTTCTGAAGTAGTTAGAGGTATTGGAGCGATTTTTAAGATTTTCTCTGAATACTCTTGCTTTAATGCAAATTTTTTGTACTAACAACCGTTTTGATTGCACGGCCAACTTTTAAGAATGTAGTGGAGGGACTGAAGTTTATTTCAGCCCAAGTCCCGTTGAGAAGTGGGCATTAGTTGAGCCGTAAATTCATTAAACTGGCATGGAAAGATTTCCTGTGGATCATATACTATGATATAAACCTCTGTATGTGGTATTAGTCCTTTTGTAGGGTAGTACCTATGAACAAATCTGCATATCAGCAAAATGCTGCCATTTTGTCATGCATGGGGGCTTACCCAGAGAATTCTGTCTGTTGCAGACCTATGTAATCTTAGATTTGAACTCTAACTCTGTAAAGAGATTCTTGTTTTAGGCCAACCATAAATGAACTTATTCACTTACCAGGAGATGGATGCACTTTTGTGTGCATACTCTTTTTTAAGTTTTGAGTGAATTTAAATAATTTGGGAGGATGGTGATAGTAACAAATTTTATGGAAATATGCAGTGTTCTGTGGCGGAGTACGATGTTGTCAGAAGAACTGGCCAAATTGCGAGGTAGAGGGATGTCTTGAAAATTCTGACAATTCCGCATGTACAACTCTGTCAATTTAAGCAACAAAGCTATGGAATGAAAGAGGAAATAAATGTAAACTAAGGAAATGGATAGTGAGTACTGATATTACCGTTCTTATTGACCTTGTACTTCAGTTCCATGTAATGATGATTTTCAGTGAAAATATCACAGAGTCACAGAAGTTACACTGTTTTCTACGTGTTAAACAATATGTCCATATGTCATTAATGATAACTGAGCCTCTCCTGATTCCACATGCTGCACGGGTAAATATTGACCCTCTTCAAATCAGAGAATGATCACTCACTAGATGCACTGGCTGCTGCAATGGATACTGGCTGTTCAGATAATTGGCCCATTTCTGATAATGCGGTACTCAGATCTGAAGTGAGCAGGTGTTTAATCAGGTTTGAAATAGAACATTGTAAAAATTCTTACAATTAATATATGTTGGAAAGCTCAGTTTTGGGGAGAAGAGAATCAAAATGCCATCCATATGATTTCAGTAAGCGCTAACTAGAATCTTAAACGTTTCCAGCATTGTTTGAAGTTTCTAAAGCCTAGAAATGAAACAGACATGCCAAGTTTGAAGTTTGATTTGAGCAGTACATGCAGAAACAATATGAAAGAAAGTTGTGTGTGCCTGATAACTTTAGCAGCTTAAACCCATAATACTGTACTCTTTAAGGGGTTTTGGAGATTAAATATGTATGTAGGTATATAAGTGGATGATGATATCCTCCCCAGTGTGTGTTTATGCCATACAAATTAAATTTTGTAAATAACATACTGACTCCCTCATTTTCCTAAGTTGTATTATTCCGTACTTTTCTGGCTTTTATCATATTACCTTTCCGGATTTTTTCTTTTTGTAATTTAGAGAACTTCGAGTTATGTTTTCTGATCATGAATTGAGTGCTGTGGTTTGTCATTGTTTTGTTAATGATAGATCAGCCTCCTTCCTGATGTTGTTATAATAGTTTCACTATAGATTATATTACAAATATTACCTGCTTTGTTTCAGAGAAGGGCGGTGCCCATCCATGCATAGTGTGCAAAGCACAGCTGGACAAGTTTCTGCAGTCACGCCCTTTGCCCCGGTCACATGCGCAACAGTATGGGTTGAAGGAAGAAGAAGTGACTCCAGGTGCACGGGTATGCAACACGTGCCGTTGCAAGTCTGTACGCAACCGTTACACACAGTGCCCCCTACCTACTTGTCCAAATGCAAAGGGCAGGATCAAGCGACTAAGGCCTCTGCCTGGCAAATGGACTGAACTTCCACCTGAGGTCAAGGACCCAATCATTGCAGAATTTCGTAAGTTTAGGTTTTGGTACAGAATCTTTCTGTGTGCATAATTCCCTTCTGTCTGACTTCACTGTTTGATAATTACTGTGAAACTATTAAAGGCATATAATGCATAAATCCATGCTCTTAGCTATTTTTTTTTGCACTTTTAATATGTAAACTAGTCTGTTTGATATTTATAAGATCTGTCGCCATGCGGTGATACAGTAATATGAAAAATATGTGCTCCTATGACCTTAGTAATTTTCAGAACCTGAATTTTATCAAAGTAAGAATAATTTAGTGTTTTTTTTCTAGAGGCTAAGGTGCTTTGCCTTTTGTTATTTATTTATTTATTAAATGTATCAAAGGTGTGTGATATAAGAAATAAGCAGTTTTGTTACATAAATACAGCCTATTTCAAGAGAAATCTATAATTGGATTTTTTAGATGGTTAATGATAAATAATAGTGCGATAAATTGTATTTTATTATAATAGTGTGATAAATTGTATTTATTAATTACTCTGTGAAGAATCATTTTTAGAATAATTACATGAATATGAATTTTTATGTAATGGCCATAATCATATAGTTTCATTTCCTAAATTTGGACATCATTCTTAAATTTTGATTGATAATGAGTTTCGGTTATGTTAACTGCATTAACAGGTGTGCAATAGGATTGAAAGAAAGTCAATAAAATTGTGACAGCAAATACACTTAGCCTATATGGAAGTACTGGACAATTTGGAGGCATATGTGGTGAATTTTTTCAGACATTTTACCCAGACAAAGTCTGATAGTATGCAATTGGGGTATTGCACTGACAAAAGACATACCATATGAAATTCTGATAGGACCATTTCCCTCATTCCAAATGTTGCTTGTTTTTATTTGACTTATTCTGTAAATTGTTTTTATTTTAGTGTTTGCCGCTAACTTTGCATTTCATCATCCTAGACATTTCACTTTAAGGTGTCATTGTGATTATGCATATAACCCTTTCATCAACTTTTTTTAACCTGTAGCCTTGTAGAGTCCGACTAATGCCAAGTCGTTGCTATTTTTTAGTGTGCCCATTAAATTTGCACTGTTACCACACAAATAAGAACAATTTGGTCCCAAACCTTCATATCTGACTTAAAGATGTGTAGATGCCATTGCAGGTGTGTTCAGTGCAGGAATACACTTCACTGATCCTTGGTTGGTTTCTTTTGAACCCAACACACTTTCTCAATTGTTGACTATACTGTGTGTGTTTTGTATGTGCAGAAATACCAGCACAGGTGAGCAAATGCTGCTTAGCGTGTTTCAACCGTATTACACGGCGTTTGGCACCACATCTTCAGGACCCTGCTAGTGCACAAAGTGAAGACGGCGACCATGGCAGTTCTCAGCAACTGCGCTGGACTGAGGAAGAGACAGAGGCTGCCAAGTGTGCCATACGTGAGCATGGGACCAACTGGGCTAAAGTTGCAGAGAAGGTTGGGTCTAACAAGACTCAGCACCAGTGCAAGAACTTCTACTTCAACTATCGCAAGAAACTTGGATTGGACAATTTGGTACAAGAGTACAACAAGGTACATTCCCATTACATTCTGAAGATAAATTATTGGAATATATGAAAGTCATTACTGTATAAAGAGAACTTCAAGCACAGCTAAATTTAAAATGAGGGCCGTAATTATGTGGATTTAAATCACGGCCACCAGTCCTAAGCATTCTTATATAGATTTTTATTCTTGGATGATATATGCATATTGTTTTAAGTGTCATATGCTTGCATTCCGCTTACATGTTGTCACCAGTTCTAGTGCTCATGTTTATATAGTGTCCAGACTGCTTCTTATCTGTCCATTTAAGAATCCAATTTAGAATTATGATACATATATTTCAACTTGCATTTACAAGATACCATTCCTTTCTTGTTATTTAACTAAACTAAGGACTTTTATTTAACATGTCACTTTTATACTGAATTTCTAAACATGTACTTTGTATACAGAATTACTGGATTTTTGGACTTTTTCCATCGTCCGGAATTCTAGGTAATAAAGGACACTCTAGGTAACAGAGGACATGATGTTTTGGAAACAGATCCAGTTTCTGAAACGTTGTGTCCTCTGTTACCTAGAATTCTGGATGATGGAAAAAGTCCAAAAATCCAGTAATTCTGTGTGTCATCCACCATGATCAGAACCCTTTAGAATCTACTTGTACCTTGTATGCTTTATAATATTCTTTAATATGCTCATAATACTTATGCAATCTTTAGAAGCATCTGGGCGAGGAGAGAAAGCCTACAGTGACTGATGAGGAGGAGTCTGGTTCAAGTACATCGTCATGCGATGAACTGACACCTGGTGGCATTCCACGTGATAACAGTGATACAGACAGTGCAGCCTCACCAGGAAACCAAGAACACACGGGTAAGGAAACATAAGTAGTATTTCAGTAGTGTATGGAATTGTCCAAGAACATACTTGAGATACGTGTTCACCCATATGTTATATCAAATCTAAATTACTCTTCATATTTAAAACTTGACTTGTGAAAAAGAAACCATTTGGGAGATACAAGTGTAGATGGGAAGCTACTGTTGAAATAGATATTGAATAAATAGGGTATGATGGTGTCGACTGGATTCCTGTAGCTCAGAAGAGGAATGGATGTGTCCATGATAATGAACCCTCATGTTCCATAAAATGTTTATTTTTTGGCCATTTGATTGAGATTTTCATGAAGGACTCTGCCAAAACCAGTTAATTTTGAATGACAGTTGCTAGCATATTGCATAATGGGTCCTAACCATGTTAAAACAGTTAATCTGCTCTACTCATTTCACATACCATATTTTGATTTTTGCATTATTTCTGTCTTTTCTCTCTCTGAAGATGAAAAAGTTGGTCCAAGTGGAGGTGCAGTAGATGGCAAACATGGTGAACAAGACTTGGCAAACAGTGGCAATGGCAGTAGCAGTGGTCCCGGTTCTGTGGCAACACTAAGAGTTCTTGATGGTGAAGGAAGAGCTCAAGGACAGCAAGGCCCATCTTCCCAGGTCAATGCTCCTGTAAAGGAGGACTATGATAGTTCTGCCACAGTGAGTTGACTGTTGTAAACTGATCTGATATTTGAATGACACATATTGATGAACATGTTTTACAACTCCTTTCCTCCAAAATGCAATCTGACGTTGTTGCTTTGTTCAGCAACAGATTTAAACTACTTCATGAAAAAAAGCATATGAATTGGCCCTATGTAGAGAACAGTCTGATCATGTGAATTAGGCAGGAGAGATAGTATAAAAAGTACAGTGTCTGGCAGAATGTTTACTTTTATTGTGTTGCAGGAAACTGCAGATGAAGGTCAGGGTGGAGCTGAAGGAGACTCTAGACAGTCCCCCAAGAACATAGGCAGTGCTGTTACTTATGCTCCATCTATTTCAGTGACTGTTAGTCAGTCACAGTCATCAACACATCAAGGAGATGTAAGCCTCTTGAAACATCCTTAATTGCATTCATATTTATTTATTTAAAAGGAAGTTAACTCAACTCACTGACTAACTGCTCTGCCTATAACATCTGGGCATGGATGGCACAGAAAACACCACTTCCCATTATTGTTGTAGCCATTTGTTGATATGCAGTTGTTGAAACATGCTTGTTTATGGATCTTTTACATAGCAGAGCATGCTGTATATTTGCTTATTTCGCAGTCTTGCCTAACAACAGGTGTAAGTAAGTAAGTAAGTAAGCAAGCAAGCAAGTAAGTAAAGTAAAGCTATCCCTGTAACAGGCTGTGAAGGCCCATAGGGTTCTGAGATGTTGAAGGTCCCACATTATCTAGACAGTTGGCTCAAAGATGGCGGTAAGGTTGTCAGCCTTACGTGCCAGCTGCGCTTTACTCCCCAGGAAAATTATTTAATTAATTCCTGGTACTCATTTCTGTTAGAGGCTGAGTCGACCCCAGGGCCATAATGTGGCTGGAAGGATTAGGTAAATTGAAAAAAATCCAATGGCCTCATTGGGGCTTGAACCCGTGGCCTTCCAGCTTGTAGCCTCAACCAACTATGCTACTGCATGCCCCCTAACAACAGGCGTACATGCCACAATATTTATGCTGTTTGTCAAGGGCAAGAAATCATTGAAATCATTATCATAATGGTAGCATCCTGCAGTCTCAATGAGTATCAGTGTCAGAGATCCATGAGAACAGAAATCAAATTATCCTGGGGGTTGGGGGTGGGTGGGTTGAGGGCCATTGAGGGTCTCACAGTATCTAGACAATTGGTTCACAGATGGCGGTAAGATTGTCAGCCCTGTGCCAGCCAGCCTTTACCTCCCAAGAAGATTCATGGTACTCATTTGCTAGAGGCTGAGTCGACCCCAGGGCCATAATGCGGCTGGAAGGATTAGGTAAATTGGGGAAGGGGGTGGGGGGATCCACCTAATCAGGGCTCAAACCCCCACCTTCTGGCCTGTAGCATAGCGTCTCAACCAACGACACTACCGTGTGTCCCTGTTACCGTCTCTGTGGCATTAAAAATGTGCAGAATGTGTAATAAACCCAGTTGATTTAGCTCCTTACTCTAGAGTAATCACTGTCTTCATCAGCATAATTTGTGAAGCTGAACATGAAGTATATCCTTTCTTTAGCAGGTGAATGGACCTTCATCTCCACAAAATGAGCGATCTGTGAAGGAGCTGATGCTTGGTATGATAGAGATGCAGATCAAAAAGAACCCATGTGGTCAAGGTGTTAATGCAGCGGTGAATGTGGTGACCAGTGAAGGGACACCCACAATCTCATCAATTCTCAAGACAGATCATCGGACAGATCTGCTTCGACCTTCATCAGATATTTCCAGAGGTGAGCAGGTGCTACATCTTTTGAGTTTACAGCAACACTGAACACAAGTGTATGTTAACATTATCTTCAGTTATATTCATTCTTCTCATAATTTTCCTTGGTTCTCTGAAACGCCATTTTGCAGACTGCTGTGTAAAATTAATGATTCTGATCATCTGGGTAATTGAAGCTCAGGTTATCGAAGCCTTTTTGTTTAATCGAGCAGCATTGTAATAATACACACAGATTGGGATGGTAGTGATGCTCTAGACTTGTATTCAGCTTAAATCTCAACCAGGACACAAGCTATCCTGACTTTGGTTTTTCATGGTTTTCATCAGTCCCTGTAGACAAATGGCTGGATATTTTCTAAATCAGTCTGTAGCCACTTCCTTGTAAATCCTAATTCATCAGTCATCCTGTTATACAGTGCTGTATATATCGTATTATTACTGGTGGAATCGTTAAATAACCAACTAACAGTGTTATAATAATACATTCTTGAATTTTGAAATGATAATGCTGTTCTTTCCTCAGAAGTTTGGAGGGTTGATCTTATATTAGATTTAGGAGATCAGAATATTGATTCTTTAAATTATTTATTTAAATAAAAGATGTATGCTTAAACTAAATTACAAAAGACCGCCACATGGCAGTTTAGAAGATTTGTCCTGTCAGGTACATGCCCTCAAAATTGCTAGATGAACTGTCACTGGCATTTTGCTCTCTGGTGACTATTTACAGGCTAGAAAGATGTAGAGGAACCTAATACAGATGTACATGGATTATAAATTTATAGACATGTTTTTTACATGGCAGACATCACCTTTGTCCGTGAATACCGAGCAGATACTAAGCAGCAGCAGTCTTTGAGAGTGCAGCTACCTCAGGAAACATCCATAGCGACACTGTCTGTTGTTAATTCACATCATCATGGCAATAATGTGCCAGGAAACACTTCTCTGCCACAGCAGCACCTGACGGTTCCCAGTAGTGGGGCATCTGGTGCAGCCATTCTGCAGCATGTCCCTCAGATGCAGGCTACCATTACACCTTGCTCTACCACACCTAATGACGTGCCTCGGGAGGGACTTGTTGTAGTCCAGGTAAGTAGTTCTAATTTTCACACGTAAAGTAAATAAAAGAATGGATAAAACGAACTGTGTATTCTTGACTAAAATGTCACCTTGAAAGAATATATGTTGAATTGCTAAAAATTAAGAAACTGAAAGGAAAAGTGAAACAAAATTGTTAACATATGCTGTGTACGTTTTACAGGCATCTTCAGCAGATGGAATCATAGATGATATCCCTACTTCTGTATTCTTCATATTACTTATATGAAAATAAAATGTAGTTAGTGTGGGATAGAAAGTAATTTCAGAGATGCTTTATTTCGATGAACTGAATGATTGAAACATTAAATTCATATGCATGTCTTTGTTGATAAATATTCCAGTTGGCATGAAGTCGAGACTATGTGCTGAAGGAATAAATATGTAATTAGAAGATTTCATGGTGACATTGTGTGACCTGGTCTTATTTTGAGCTCATCTGTTTCATTGTGGAGTGTATGACATTTAAGATTTTGTCTGTGTCTTGACGATTCACAGTCAACATGGTGAATCTGGTATTCACATGCTACATTGATACAGAAGGTAACTGTGCTGGTTGCCCCAGTATTGACCTTGTGGGTAACAGTGGCTGGAATCAGTTGATCTGTTGCTTGTTGCTGCTTCTTCCGTACAGTGGTGTTTGATTGTTTCCACATGCTTTCTCATGTTCATGGCTGGGTACCATGAATGACTTAGGTGAAATCGCATAGCTTTAGGTTATCAGGGTGCAGCTAGATGTTGGTGGCCCCCTCCACCAAACTGTCCTTGTAGTCTGTTCTTGCAAGTACTCTGAAATCCTTGAAGTTTATCTGATGCCCTGTCACAACCGGCTTAGCTGTTTTTAATACTTGTGTGCTGCTCACATTCATATACTGTGTCTTGATGCTGTGGCCTATGTGTCTTAACATATTCCAAGTCACACCGGATACAATATATGCCTTGGATGGCCAATGCCATCTTTCATTTTTGTCAAGAAAAGCCAGCATTCATTTTGTTGGGATGTGTATAGTTTTGATGTTAAATCTGCCAGAATCCTGCCATACCTATTGGAGGTGCTCTGTGTAAAGGCATTTGAGGCCATTGTGATTATCTTCTCCTGCTGTGCAAATGAGTTCAGTCTAGGGTTGAGAGCGTAGTGGATGCCTGTTGTACGATAGCTGTTCTGTCTGAAAGTCCTTTCGAGATTCAGAATTTCTTCATCTAGACTTCCCAAGTTATATATAGTATTTGCCTGATGATGAATGTCGAGAGAATGGCATGCTTTTGCAGTGGGTTATGATGAGAAGTAGCGTGCAGGTAGAGATTAGTATGCATGAGTTTCCTGTAGACAGCAAGCCCCAATAAGCTCTTGGGGTTCCTCTGAACCATTACATTGAGAAATGACAGTGAGCTGTCATCTTCTGTTTCCATTGGTGAGAACTTCAGATAAATGTTGGTGAGATGTCTCTGGAACTGCATAATTCCTTCTTGCCATGGTTTCAGACCATGAAATTGTCAGTTGATGTGTCTATACAAGCTGTGTACTGTATCGTGTCTGAATGCAGCATGGTATATGTTTGAGAGATGGGCCACTTCATCAAGACTGGCTGTAATGAACATTCACTGCATACATTGCTGTAGCAACCATGTAAGTTGGTGGTGGCGGTGCACAACTTTGAGGCAGAGCACCAGATGAACTTCAGTGACACAATAGTATGGGCGTGAATGACAGGCTGCATGGACTGCCTGATGAAGGAGGCCACTGATGTCTGGCTGCACTCTCATAGCTTCAGCAGAGATACAGGCCCCATGCAGTATTTCATATTGTTCTTAGACTTATGTGACATGTACACGGTGCAGTAAAGGAAGCTGAGAATTCTTAAAATGCCTTATCTTGGCAACCCCTGATGATGAGATGGTGGGAATCATGTTGTTTGCTAGCTTAATTGATGCCGTTGCAGTAGCCATGTAGCAGTGGAGCATGCAGCGTTGTGCATTTATTGTTCAACACATTTTTGAAAAATGGTGACTCTTGTTAAAACACAGCTTATATTTTGCAAGCATTTCAATATTGATCATCATGGAAAAGTTCCTTGCTGTAATACCATGCAGATGTGGGTAGAAAAATTCGGAATGAGTGCTTCCTCATTAAAAAAGACCCACCATGTGGTGTGTGTGCAGTGCAATTGCCACAGAATATTGAGGCTGTGATACAGTCATAGGCGTTTAGCCAGGAGACATTCTGTTGCTCTGGGAATATCTGACTGCAGTGTGAAGAGAATTTTACACAAGGATTTAAATTTCCATCTGCACAGAATGGTGGTGGTGCAAGAGTTAAGCAATCTTGACATGGCAAACCATAGCACAGTACCAGGGTGGCCAACCTTTAACATACATATGTTAGATATATCTAACAGCAAGTCACACTGCTGTGGCAGAATGTGAGATTTATCTGACACAGTGCATCACACGCGTACTCTTTGGGAGTGGTGACAGTTTGATCTTTGGGTTGAAATGACAACAAACCCATGCAAGATAAAGTCAGTGGTTCATTCCTGAGCTCTGAACAATGAAATCGTTTTATCATGGTACTGGTTTCGATACTATTTGTGTTTAGATATGACTGTTTATGACCAGGTCAGCCAAATAGAGCACAGCTTTGTTTTGAGAACTGAGAAGCAAATATTCATCTGAGCCTGAGACTTAGGTCCATTTAAATTCTGGCCCTAGCAGGCTCTCGGCAATTTAGAAGTCCGTACTTCAAAGGTTAAAGGTTAATCAGTATGTTGTCTACGTAATTGTCCTTATGACAGATGAAGCACACTTCCACTTATCTGGCCGTGTCAACAAACAGAATTTTCGCTACTGGGCAGAGGAAAACCTACAGCAACTCCATCAACAGCCTCTTCACAGTGCACATGTGACTGCTTGGTGTGGAGCGGCAAACCTCAGAGTCATAGGTCCTTATTTCTTTGAAGACAAATGGAGAGTTTACTGCACGACCTAATTATGGCACTGTAGTAGGAACATTAGTGAGAAAAGCAAGCCAATTAGTGATTTCGTGCCAGTGTTCTTTATACTTTGAAACATGTGATATTTATGCTTTGTCTGCCAGGTCCAGCAAGTGCAAAGAGAACGAAGTGAGAGGAATGAGAGGAGTGAGAGGACTGAACCAGAAGGAGTGACCCTTGACTTGAGCATCAGAAAACCACGTGAATGCAGTCCTAGTTCGATGGCCACCAGTCCAATGGGGCCACGTGGTGATTCACCATACCACCCACACCTGCCCCAACATCGGGATTCACCATCACTGCCTGCTCACACCACACTACATAGCATCCCTCCGCCTGCCCATAAATCTGGCCCCCACCATCCACCACCCCCATCTGTCACTGTATATCGCACTGACACTGGCTACTATCCTCACCAGGTATTGGAGCATTATTGTTGCTTCTAATTTTTAGACAGATATTAAAATAATTGAAATGTTTCATGTCGTCAGATTTAAAATGGTAACCAGTACTTTTATAGGCTTAGTCTTATGGTCTTAACAAGTGAACACTGGATTGTGAGTTCTAATTTTGTCCTTAATGTGAATGTTTGTTCTCATTTCAATTGTCCTTTTAATTCTAACAGTTCATTCATTTTGAGCGTTCATCCCTAAGTTAGGCTCTGATAATCCTGCTTGATGACACCTAGGACTCAAAGAGCTTGGAAAGCTTGTAACAGAACACTCTTGGAGAGTTAATAAATGTAATCCCAATAGGCTGCCTCTGTGGTCTAGTGGTCAGAGTTCCTGGCTACAGATCCAGAGGGCTGGGTGTGATTTCCGGTGTAACTAGATTTTTTTCTGAGAAGTAGTGGGTCTGGAACGGGTCCACTCAGCCTTGTGATGATAATTGAGGAGCTGTTTCAAAGAAATAATGGCTCTGGTCTAGAAAACCGCAATTAATGGCCATGGGGATTCATTGCGCTGACCACGCAACACCCTCTATCCGCTAAAAATTGGCACTAACTTTGCCGACGAAGCACAATAGACCACTGTAGGTCGCAGTACAAGGGCCGAGGAGGCGTACCCCTCATACATTCAACTTTGTTGACAAGTGGCGGTCACTCGGTTGGTATAGTTCGCTTGCGGACTGAAATCACGGAGTTGTTGCAAACCACATACAATCATGAGCTGGCTTTTGTTGTGTGGTAGACTCCAGATGATGAGTTTTCTGAAATTTATTTGGTCTGTTATGAATTTGTCAACTAAATACTGTAGAACATGGGGAATTGCCATAATATCGTTAATAATTTGATTATGAATGACTTTTCATTGTTAACTACTTACTGTCTTCCTCAACCTTCCTGTTGTATTCACTTGTCTTTATTTTATTGGCAGTCAAGCCTGTTCTGACTTGACATACTCACTGATATTTCACTTTATACTGTAGAATGTGTTTCAGTATCCTTTCTTCAGTTATTCTATCCCAGAAGCTTATCTGGTTCGCCTGTGTTTGTTTTATTTTGTGCTGATTGTATTTTCAGATCTTTGGCTAATGCCTTCATTCTTAACATGGTCCCATCTAGTGTAGCTGTGACTGTTGAATATCCCATCTGTAGGGATATATCTTGCATTAATTGTCCAAGATTCATTTCACAATCACAGAGTTGGTAGTGTTACTACTGCACAAAATTTTATAATATTTTGTGAAGTCTGTAAGTAATTAGTTTGCACAGAAATTTGTGCAAACACAAATTCTGTAATGATCATGGTTACAAAAAGACTTGTTTATATGAATTGGCAGTGCAGAAGTTTGAATTAAATACAACACTGAAACACAGATTTAAACACATGGCCCACAGCACATGAACTACACTTAGATTACGGCTGCCATTCAGAATTTGATCAAGGATTGTGGGAACAAATAACAGATTAGATTTTCCAGTAGGCTGTATGTGTAGTAACATTTTTATAAAGGCATGTTAGCAGAAGCATTTGTTGTCAGAGAGGCGTTAGTGCTATATTATGTTTTATATGTAATTGGGAGTTAGTGGATTGACTTGTAGGTATATATGTCAATATACTGTCATTTTCAGACTTTACGAGTATCTGTTAGAACAAGCACTTTTGCGAATTTATAAATCCTTGTAATATTGAGCATGTGCTGTACCACTGTTATGTGCGTATATTCATATTGTGTGTATTCTGATGACATATTGCTAGAGATCAGGAAACTCTCTGTAAGGTGCAACAGTTGTAGTTATTCCCTGTGAACAATATTTATGCAGAAGAACATTGTATTTATGTATGATGTGACATTAATATTTAGATATATGATAAAAGTGGATCTCTTACTTGGCCTCTGACTCTTGCTAGAGTCTCATCACTTTGTGATGTTTATTAATATCTGTTTTTGTCTTTCAGGTGGTGGTATCTACCGAGCAGCTTCGGAGTGTTTCAAAATCTCCATCTGTATTTGTTTCTGCCGTCCTGCCACATTCAGATAGCCGTGCAGGTGGGAGTTCTGTTTGTGGTGGCCCAACTCCTCATCTGGTTATGAACCAGCAACCACCTGCCTCCAGACCTGGGCCTCAGGGACCCAACACCAAACTAACTAAGGTTAGACTTCTAGCAAAGTTAAATCATTTTATAGTATGTTGCTAGTGAATAATATTTCAAAGTGTGGAGGTGTAAGTACAATAGAGTTGAGTTATAATTCAGTTACCTAGAAGCATCCTCTCCTGTAGTAAAGTATTCTCTCTTTACTTGGTGGTTTAATGGGACTAAGGTTATGAAGCACAAATCTCTCAGTTCCCAAACTTTAACACATTACATGAAATCCTTGTTTACAAGTAATGTGAGACCCTTTGCAGCTCTGTTTAAAAATTTGAAGATTACATCAGTCATAAAGTCAGCATATAGGGCAGCAGAGAACGTCAGGAGAATGTGTTAAGTAGATGGAAACACAGTTAATTTTATAGGTTATGAGACTTCCGTTCACTTCCAGATAGTGGTAGGTTCTCTTCAAGGATAAGATTACCTGTAACTGCAAACTCATAGACAGAGAAAACAAATTGATCCTGTAGCTGGTATGAGAAGTTCACTTTTTATGTACAATTTTTTTCAACAGATTGCATTTCTTTTAATATTCTGAAACTGTTCCCTTGTACATAGGTACCTTCATTGCCCCCAAAGCTGTCTCCGAAGCTGCCCCCTGTTGGTACGAAGACTGGTTCGATTACCCATGGCACACCCGTGTCTTCATCTGCATCTCTTATGATGGGTGGGCCAGCTTCATTACATCAGCAGCCTCGGTATGAGGGTTTGCTTCGTCAGATGACACCTCCACAACAGCAAGGAAAAGAAGGGAGTGCACTGAGTGGATCTATCACTCATGGTACTCCCGTCCATCACACTCAGCACCACTTAGCACCAGACAAACGTGCTGATAGGGGTGGATTGCCATTAGTATCACAAGGACAGGGACCTGTGTATGACTATTATAAAAGACTGTCACCTGCTACTGTAGCTCAGAATTCTGGAAGCAGTTCTGCAGGATCCACAAATAGTAGTGGACAGCCGGGGTATTCGCCCTACCAGCGAGAGGCTCAAGCTCCACAAACTACCTCAGCTGGAGCTTTTACCTCTCCTTACCCACATCAGTCAACACGGACATCTGCCTCATATGTTATTGATCAACAGCGCCAGATCATAATGAATGATTATATCACGTCACAGCAGATGCATGGTACTCGCAGAGTACCTCCAGGATCTAATCCACCTTCATCAGAGAAATCTCAACAGGACTCACCATCACCTCGTGGCATCTCATCATCTCCTCACTACTATGCCACTGCAACTGCACCTTCAGTGTACCTGGCAGCTGATGGAAGGTTGCCACGATCATCACCAGCAAATGCTGTGGGCATGGAACAACCACAAACACCTCCACATCACACTCCTCCCCCACCAGCACGCCAGGGTGTTATACACTCCACACCCAGGCACAATGCAGTACCATCTAGGCCCCCAAGCAGTGGAAATGGTGGCAACCCGAAACCTCCATCTCCAGCTGCATCGCCACATCAGCGACTTCATCATCTAACACCACATCATCCCCAGCATCATTCCCATCACTACTCTGCACCTGGTCAGCCACCACCAGGCCATGAGGCATTTTCTTCTCTAGTGGATGTAGCTGTCCAGCAGCCCAGTTTGCCTGTCCCTCACAAGGAATCAGACAAACGCCAGCAACCTCAACATCTTCTTCCTCCACATCACCCTCACCATCATGAGGGTCTTGGGAAGACTATGGCTGATTCCCTGAACAGTACTCGCATGTTGACTGATCATCACCAGATGCAAGAACGAGAAAGATTTTCCATCTCTCGTGAACAGCGTGAACGCGAAGCACATCATTCTGCCGAGCAGCAGCGATTTGGAGCAGTAAGAGAAAGCCATGCTGAACAGCAAAGGTTTGCTGCTGCTGCAAGAGAAGGCCACCATCCAGATCGGTATAGTCAGTCTACAAGAGAGAGGGAGCAAGAGCAGCAGCAGCGCCTTGTGGCCACATCAAGGGATCGAGAAAGAGACCGTGAAAACCATCAGATCCAGCAACACAGGGAGTTGCAACAACAGCAGCAAGTACATCTGCAGCAACAGCTCCATCAGCAGCAGCAACAACAGCAGCAAGCAAGGTTATCTGCTGTAGAGTTTGATCAGCGGCAACAGAGGCACCATCAGCATCAGCAGCAGATCGCTTATCGTGCTGCTGCATATCGTGACCACCAGCGTGTCTCTGACATCGAGCGAGAAACCACAAGAATGTTGATGGGTTTTCAAAGGGATGGATCATCCAGCGGGCAACCACCACCCTCTTCTAGGCTACATGCTGCATCACAGCAGTCACAACATGGTAAGTGCAATAGCTCGCATGTCCACAGAGCGTGTAAAGTTTATTTTTTTCCAGCTATCAGAACATAAGTTAAATTTAGTTGGAGTACAGGAGGTCAGATTGAACAGAGGTGGCACCGAACCATCATAGGTATATACATTTTTCTATGGAAAGGGGAACATGAATTAGGTGCAGTTCTTTTTGTATATAAGGGAATCATCAGCAGTTAAGAGAGTAGTTTGTTAGTGATGGGGTGTTGTACAGAATGCTAAGATGTTGCTAGTGTGATATCATCGTTCTGAATGTTCATACACCAACAGAGGAAATAATTGATGAAATCAAGGACAATTTATATGAGGAAATTGAACGTGTATTTGATAAATTCCTTAAATACCGTATGAAAATTTTGTTGGGAGATTTCAGTGCCAAAATAGGCAGGGAAGACATTTTCAAACCAGTTGGGAATGAGAGTTGACAAAAATTAGTACATCCAAAAATCCAACCGTCAAAAGTACAGTGTTCCCATATCACAACATTTATAAATCTACTTGGACTGGTGGAAAGACTCAGCAATCAAATTTACCATCTTTTGATGGATGGGCGACAGCATTCAAGTGTGCTTGATCGTTCAAGGGAGCAGATTATGATACTGACCACTATCTGTGGTGGCAGAAGTTAAGGAGAGGCTGGCAGTGAGTAAACAACACACAGAGTTCATATGGAGAGATTCACTATCCAGAAATTAAGCAAGATAGATGGTAAAAGGCAATATCGTTTTGAAATCTCAAATAGTTTTGGAGCTTTTGGAAAACTTAGATGCTAAGCTGGATATTAACAGAGCTTTGGAAAGTATATTAGAGGGAATATCAGAATTTCAGTCAAAGAGCGTCTAGGTTATTACAAATTGAAGATGCATATTCTGTGGTTTGATGAAGGATGCTCAGAATTATTAGATCAAAGGAACCAAGCCAAATTGCAGTGGTTACAGGATCCAAGTGAAATAAATTGGGATATTCTGAACAATAAAAGACATGACACCAGCTCATTCACTGAAACAATTTTAAATAGACCAAAATACCCAATTATGTTCATTATATGAATATTCCCATACATGAAGTAAAAGGCATAGTAAGCAACACTGCAAAGGAGGAGACAGAGGAAATTTTAGACCTATTGATGTAATTCTAGAACAGAACTATATACAAGTAAATTACATATGCAGCAGAACATTTGAACAGCTGCCTAATAGAGCTATAAAATAATCTGACTGTATCAAAAAGTTCCTGCATGGACTTTTGAGCTTAACTTTCTTCAATCTCTGTAGTGTGATAGCCAGAAATTAAAACTTCAATATTATACACACCTCTTATCATTTACTTCTCTGCAGTATTTCTATGAATATAAATTTCCTGTCTGTAATAGTTGTTTGATATAACCTTGAAGTTCCAAACAGTTGCCATGTTTGTAACTTTTAACATATATAGAAATGCTTCATATAAAATTTGTAGGTGTTGTATGGACTGTACCCATATTTCATTTCACCTTCTATGTTTGATTTGTTCTCCCCTCCCCCTATGTTCCTTACTTTGAAAATATAAAATTGGTTGTATGAGATTTCCAAGCTGTCTGTGTATCTCCCCCTAACACGTTTTGAACACCTGTTCCAATCTTCATGAAACTTGGTGTGGGTAGCATGCTATCTGAGGCCATGTCAGTGGTACACTTTATAAATCCCTTCAGCAATATAATACCAACACTGAATCCTCTCACACTTGAGTTAATAACCTTAATGTTACTTTAATGCCTGAACCAGTTGTCATGAGACCTAGTATGAAATCTGTGCTGTGCAAGGCATTTTCAGTAGCATATTTCACAAATACCTCCTTTTGGTAATACCACCATATTGTAGCATAGTGAGAAGAGAATTGTGAGAGACTGTGACATGTCATCTGGAATTTTGAAGCAGTTCTCAGGGCAGGATTGTCCATCTTGAGTGGAAAGTTATGCTAAAGGTAAAACTATCCCTGTGACAGGCTGTGGAAGGCCGTAGGGTTGTGAGACATTGAGGAGCCCACATTTTCTAGACGTTCGGCTCACAGATGGTGGTGAGGTTGTGAGCCTTATGCACTGGCTACCCTTTACCCCCCAAGAAAGATTCCTGGTACTCATTTGTGTTAGAGGATGAGTTGACCTTAGGGCAATTGCACCGCTGGAAAGATTAGATCAATTTAAACATCTAGCGACTTCACTGGGAATCGAACCTGTGACCTTCTGACTTGTAGCATGGTGCCTCAACCAACTACACTACTGCATGCCCCTGGAAAGTTAAATAAAGGTAAATAACTGTAGATGAGCGTTCAGAGTCAGTCAGCATATCTATGAGCTGTATGCATACAGTTTTGCATGATGACTTCTGATGAGGTAACTGGTACCCAGAAAGGTGCTTGCTTCAACATGTGCTAGACAGCGCTTAGTTGGTATCCGGCAATGAACTTATAATTGGACTTGGATCCCATGGATCATTCCAGAAGGAAGGCACCAGAGTCTTCAGTGGTAGCATGCTGTCTTGTAGCTACTGAAGAGGTTCTGTGTTGCAAGTGAGAAGAAAATGATAGCAGCTTTCTGGGATGCTGCATGTGTACGGACACTGTGGGATTATACTGTAACTATGATGCTATACATGCTAGAAGACACTACTCTTCATAGTCACTCCTATGAGAACCTCAGATCTAAGACAGTGTGTGTTGCATGTGGAAACTTTAATGTTCAGTTGTAAATATGAATACTCATTCAAATAAATTGCATCATTCTTGTATAATAATAATAACAGTTGTTCCATGTTGGCTTGGTTCATGGTTCAGAATGTTGAACAAAACTGAGTGTTTGTACGAAAATTGAAGAAAAAAATCTGATTGTGAACCCATTGAAATTTAAGAGATGAAGGAGAGGTCAAAATTACCCCTCCTCTTCCGCACCTACCAAAAAGAAAAGAAATCTGAAGCCTTAATGGGCAGATATCCATACACAGTTCCAAGCACTACGGAAAGAATTATCAGAAAAGGATGCATGGTGAAGTGAAACCCCATCCATTCATGTAATTATCTCTAGCATTTTTGTAATTTTGTGCTGTGATAATGTTCACTGTGGATTTGGTGATACTGATCATAGCTAAATGATATATTTGATCATTTTATTTTGCAGGAGGGGAAGGAACCCGTGATCGAGAAGGGGTTCCTCGGGGTGGGGGAAGTGGTAGAAGTTCAAATGGTGGCAGTGGTGATTCAACACTTACTGCAGCCAGCTTAATTGATGCCATTATTACACATCAGATCAACCAGAGTTCAACAGATAGTGGTGGGAGTGGCAACCAAGGAGGAGCATCCAGCAACCCAGCACCCACAAGGCCGGGGGACAGGCTCTTCCAGGTACAACCTTGTTTGTGGTCTTTCAAATAATGGATGTTATTAGTTTGAATTCTATGCAGCAACATTTAATATGATATTTGTATTGTTGAAACTTAGCTTATATTCATTTTCTAATCAAATTGTTTTGGATTCATGGGAATTGATTTTCTAATTTCTGGTGGCACCTGTTCATTTGGTATATATTTGTTGCATTAGTATTTCATTGGTGTGATTTGGTCTTGTCATATATCCCCAAGAAAAGCCTTGTAAGAGAATTAAGCAAACAATTAATGCCACAGCTTGCTAAAGAACTTGTCAGTATTACAAATAATGGATACAGGCAGTGCTTTGTTTGACATTATGTGTGCTTGGTGCATTGTGTAAGGATTGCTTGCCGTTAACTGCTTATCACTGTAAATTTCTCTTATTGCTTGTGTCACTTTGTTGTATGTACGTGTACTTAGCATTGCTTTGTCACATGCCTGAACAAAACTGATTGAGAATCTGTGGAACCTAAGATGCAGTGATTATGGGTATGGGAAATTAATCACTTCAAGGAGGTTCCTTCAGTTCTACTGATCCTGTCCATTGCTGCCAGCATCTCTCATACTCTTCTTATGTTTTGATCCATGTACCTGTTTTCTCCAGAGTGTGAATATTTTTTATACACTCTCCCAAGATTTCTTATAATACCTTTGGGATCGTTGTTTCTTGCTATATGCCCAGGAAGCTCAGGTGCCATTCATGATAAATTGTTGTTTATTCTTTCTTTTATGTATTCAACCATTCCCTTATTGGACTACATTGATGCCTGGTGTTCAGGCTTCTCACCTGGTCGGTATTTGTTTCTCCAGTATTGTAATACACTAATTTCAGCAGTTTTAAAAATTGTTTTGTTTTTTAATATTTACTTTTGTTTTGCGCTGCATATGTCAGAATGTGCCTGACAGTGGTTGTATATATCTCTGAAACTCTATTATGAGAATTGTTGGGAGCTGTTGTGTTGTATTGTGAATAAATGTTCCTGCATCATCAAACCTTTCCATTTACTTATTTTAGGAAAGTCACAGGGAGACATATCTGGTGAATAGGGAGGCTGTCTCACTTGTGGAAAACATTAAAGCTTCTTGACTTAATGTCCCCCCTCCCCCATTTAATGTTGAGCTATTTTGTGATCTTAATATTAAATTCGTGCCATTTAAGATTTTCCTAATTTATTGTTCTAACCCATTGTCCTTAAAGGAACCTTTCCTGGGACTATCACTGTACTGTGGTTTGTTAACATCTGCCCACAAGCTGGTCTGTGTGGACAGGTGCATTGACATGTGAATTTTCCACTCACTGGATTTACATTTCTGTAGCTCTTCATGAAAACTTCATTAAGGAAGTAGCTTGTTGGTAGAACTGTTGGTTAACAGTAATGAGAATAGGAGCTTGCAGCCAGGGTTTAACTTGGGAGTTTTATCTGATTATGATGTTAGTATTGAGGAAATGTATCTGGAAGTGTACCTGTAGAAATATCAGAAATATAAAGCCAAGTTACAAGCATCAGAAATGCAGTCCACAAGAAAAATAGTCCGAAAGGATGGAAAGGAGGATCATGTGAGGATGTTCACCCAATCAGATGTGCATATTTAGCCTCCCAATATTTTCTGTATTATTTAAAAATATTTGTGTAAAATTTTCTTCCTTGTAAAATTATATCCACCTATTCCAGAGCTTCCATCGTGATCAGCAGCCACCAATTTCATCTCATCAGCAGCAGCAGTCTGCACCGCAGCCACCATCATCTCTTCATGTCCCTGAATCAAATGGAAAAGTGTCGCCACTAAAATCATCTCATAGTCCCAGTGTAGTTCATTTGGATCATGATGGGCCTCCAGGCAGTCAGACCTCTGATGGATCTAATAAAGCCATTACTTTAGGCGAGCATATTGACTCAATTATAACAAAGGACTTCAGTGGGAATAATCCCCCTCCAGGGAGTGCAGGTAGTGGTTATGGCCAACAGCAACATCATCGTAGTGTGTATCTCCCTTATCACCTGCCTGCCTCTGCACCCACAGTGGACATGATGGCAGAACACCATAGCTGGAAATTGCGCAGGGCACTTCAGCATAAGGAAATGGAAGCTGCAAGGGAACGCGAGAAGTCTGCAGCTTCATCCAGGTGAGAATTTTGCAGAATATCTAAATTATCTCTCTCCATGTTCAGTGTGGTATATGCTTAGTACTGTTGGGTCTGTGTTGTATTGTCCACATAATTACCTAAGTCCCGTGGTAGGGCAGAGACCTAGAGAATGTGAATATGAGAACTGTAGAAGTATTAGTCAAGGTTGTGTGGTTCTGTTCAAAAAACTCAGTGTACAGTCTAAGGTAACATTTCCCACACAGACAACACACTTTAAAATTTTGGTCTCTTTGTAGATGGCCCCAACTGCAACTTTCCTGCTTATGCTTGTCTGTTTAATGGAGATTTAAACAAATCCTTTATTCGAAAATAATCCTACAAGTGTCCATAATTTCACATGGCAATTACCACACTGAAACTGCCTCTGAAGTTTTGAACTCTTGTAGTTTTGATTGTTTTCAAAATTAAGTCCAGAAAATTTGGTCATCTTCATGTCTTTATCATTTACATTTATGAAGGACATACAGTATTTGGAAGCTTCGTTGTTATTTTATTGAGCCCAAATGTTCAGAATCACTTTCCTCCAACTTTTCTTCCAGTTGTTCATCAGGCTGAACAGTCAGTCACTTTCTGCTTGTTAATGCCATAGTTTTGACTCAGAGATTGCACTTTAATTTATGGACTTATGTTCACGTGTTCTGAATGTGAACCACGGCAAGCTATATGTTACATTCAACTTGGGGGGGGGGTTGATGTGTCAGATGGCCATTTTCTTCACCTTTGATATAATTCGGCATTTAATATATTGTGACATGTTGCGCAACGGAGAAATGACTTCAAGAAGGAAATTCCTCAGGGAACCTTTGGATGCCGGAGAAAGGACTTGGCGCCACGGTCCTGTACCAGCAAGCGGCTGGAAGACCAGGAGGAACAACGACGTCAGCAAGGGCAAACAACGCATCAAGGGCTGTTACGTCGACATAAGGAACTTCTCATGAAAGACATAAACAAGGACTGGACACTGTGGAAGTGTCGACCGCCTCCAAAACGGAAAAGAAGACTTCAAGCAGAGGAGGAGCTGGTAACGTAGAAGTACTGGCCGCCCGAGAAAGAATGAAAGCGATGGATGAATTGGATACAACTGGATCTTCTGGCGAGCTGAAAGGAAACCGCTCGAGACGAGTTGGTCTTAAGAAGGGAGTGGTTGTAACGGCTGGAGAACAGATGCTGCAAGAACAGCCTCCGAAGCAAAGGAACGGGGATGCACCGTTAGGCTATTTGGGACGAACAGCCTTAAGGAGGGAGCAGTGTGACATGTTGCGCAACGGAGGAACCCCCCCCACCAGCAGTGACGCGGCGGGTGAGTCAGCGCTCCGTCATCTCTCCTCCGCACGGTATCGTAACGCGTAACGCGCGGTGACATAAGACGGCGTGAGGTAACAGCGTTGCTACGTAACAGGTCCACACAGCCCCTATATAAGAGAGCTACGCTGCCTGCAAAGTTAGTTGTAATGTGGCAGTCGCCGAGATCAGTAGTAGTCGAGCCAGTGTGTGATCAACAGTCCTCAAGGCAGCAGCCTGCGTGCAGAGTTGGAATCTAGCCAGTGGCGAGTTACGAGTAAAAGTGTGATAATCAGTGGCCGTTTGTGATAACTGAGAATTAATTGGGAGTGTGTAACACAATGACCCTTGTATAGCTCCCGTACTGTGAAACGTGTAGTCTACTGACAATAGCGTGATTTGATTTGCGAATAGGGTTATAAATTGTGAAACCCCGCAATATTGTTGTAATTAGTTGTGGCCGTGATTTGTAGGTTAAATAAACCAATTAACGATCTCTATGGTGTATTCAGTAACCCAACAGGTTGCAATATTAACATCATAATCAGTATTTATAGGATAATATAATTTAATAAGTTTCTTGAATAATTTATGTTATGTTTCAGGTCTAGCACACCGTCCATGCAAGCTGATGAACGCCAGATCATCAGGATAGCTCAACCAGCTTCTCCAAGAGGCAGCACTACTACTTCTGGGGGTAAAGCTGCACAGTATCATGTTGAACCTGTTTCACCTCCTGAGTCTGGTGCTGGGGGTATCAGTAGTGCTGCTGGTGGTCATCACTGGTTACCAGGTGGTGGTGGTGGTGGGAATGCTACAGGAAGTGATCCAGTGGCATTCTTAGCTCCTCGTCGATTTTATCCACCTGATCCTAGTGCCACTGGCAAATCACACCTCTCCCCATTGGATTATGTTAAGAACCGGATAGTGGAGGTGATGCGAACTTCAGAGGATGACAAACCAGACCAAGCCTCACAACAACAGCAACAGCAAAGGCATCATCATCAACAGCAGCAGCAACAACATTTTGTTATTGGTAAACAGCAGCCACGTTCTAGTACAGCAGATGCCCATGGCAGTAGTTCTGAAGAAAAATCACAGTATCCTGTAACTGAAGGAGGACCAGACCACCAGCTTCAAATGAATGATGATGAATCTAGGCACCAAAATCAGCGCCAGGATGGTGATGTACACCACAGGAGTGAAGGTGCAGTGAAGGTTGTGGACCGTCGAATGGATGGTGACAAGGGGAGGGATGAGGGGAGGGGAAGGTGTGACAGCCCAGGAGAAATGGTTATAGATGAGGGTACAGCTGGGACTCCACAGGGTTCAAGTAGTGGAGAGGGCTCAAGTAAACTAGATCCTATAACAACCAGTGCTTCTAAAGTTCCCTCTCCAAGTAGTGTAGATGGAAGGGTAGTGAGTGGTTTTCCACGGTCATCTCCTTCCCCAGCAAATAATTCAGCAGCTCCAACATTTTCAGTGACTGCTCCGGCAACAACTACGCCCTCATCTGTAGCTGCTGCATTTGTCCCAACATACCCGTACTCAGCACTCAGTGTTCTGTCCTCTGCACGATCTCCAAATTCTGGTCAGACACCAACTCAAACCCAGACAAGCCAACCTGTTTCATCAGCAGGTGGTACTCCTGGGATGGTCCAGCAGAACAAACAACCATCTAGTGGCTCAAGTCAAGCTCAGACAGCTATACCTCCGCCAAGTTCCCCAGCAGACACCCCAACGTCTCGATCAGCTGAACCAGCCCCTCTCCTCTCCTCTCAGTACGAACCTCTTTCTGATGAGGACTGAATGAAACAAGGACGTTTCAGAGGTATTAATGTAAACAGTGAGACCAGTACATCATTATCCCAGACAGATGAAACTGCTGCTTTCAGCTTTGTGTAAAACAGCCAGCCTTCAGTAACAACTGTGCTTGATTTCTTCACTGTTCAAGAGAAACTTAGGGTTGGGGCAGGAGAAACAGAAGTTTGGATTTAAAAAGGTGCAGTTTCTAGCACATAGGGCTTATAAACTTTTGGCTAAGGAAGAAGGACTAGAAGTGAATACATCTTGACATCATGGGCTATTTGCCAGGATGCTGGAAAAGACACCTGACAAGTGTTGTGATTTCTGTAGGAGTGGATACACTTTTTCTATTCAAAAGAAATTGTAATGTGATAACATGTGACTCCTTATAAAACCGCCCGGGCCATATAAAGGCTCTGTAAACTTGTTATTTAACCAACTGTTTTGTTGGTGAATAATAAAATGTTGAAAAATTGCGGTGCATATAGGAGTATCATTAATGTTTTCTGTTCATAAATGATGGTTCATGGGAAAGTTTCCCTTGGAACATCATTGCACTTAATTGAAAAATCAGTTGTATATAATTCATTCTTGGTTGGTAAAAGTAATTTTCTTCTTTCCTTGTATTCTCTTAGAACACGAATGTGACGGAAGCTTAATATTATTAATGCTGTAAATTACTTTTTTAATGTACGAGATGCTGCTAATTAATATGACTTCGGAAGTGTACTGCTTTTATTCACGGTTTTAGGACCTAAACTCGAATGCAATTTTTTTAATATAAACTAGTGACTCCGAACTTGTTCATGAAGAGTTCATTGTATTTTGTATGGGTTTCGAATGATTTTCTTCCTCTTTTTTTCTTTTGTGCAAAGAGATGGGTTTGATGGTGAGCTTGAACTAGGATTCAAACAAGCTGTGTTTTTTTATTACACTTTGTCTCAATGGTGATTTTTCTTTAGTTCATGGCTGACGGATTTGCATCACCATTCTTTTTTATCCATATGTAAGACATTTTTTTGAAAGTGAGTGAATGTTGTTTTTAGTTTTAGGTTGAAACATTACGGTGAAATTTAAAACTAAGTGAAGACAGCCGAAGGTGGAAGAGACATGTAAAAATAAAATTGTAAGAAAACAAAATAACTTGGGTCTTGACAAAATACTCAGGTCTGTGCTATGCTAGCTATTTGACTGTAATGTAAATTAAAAAAAAAAAAACCGAGGAAAATGTTGGACACAGAAATTTAGACTTGAGATCAGTACCTTTTATTGCCCATGGTACAAACTTTTTTCCCTTCAATTATCTACTTCATTTTTAAATCGTTTTTAAATGGTGAATGACAAAATATGTGTCAGGTTTAAAACAAAACTCCTAAGGTTTTCCCTCTTTCTTTTTCAAATGCTTCCAGGAGCAGTGGCACTTCAGGCATCTTAGACTTACCTGGAAGCATATCATCTTCAGGATTGGTTACTAATATTTACTGTTTCTTGTTAGGGACCTTATCACAATGAAGCCCTTCCCTTTATATTTTGAGTCCCCTGTGATCACCAAGTGATCTGTGTAAGAGGGATTCTTGGGCTGCTCCACCTCATTGACAGACAGGTGAGATATACACATACATACATACATACACACACACACAGATACATCAGTGTACACGTACAGAGGAAACAATCTTAGATTGTAGGAACTATGCTGTAGTAACCTTTGATGTATTAAAACAAATTGTTATTTTTGTTGAAAATAAAAATCACAAGTGTCCGTTAAAAACTATACTCGTTTTTAAATGGTTCATTTCTTCATTCCAGAATAGACTTGTCACTTTGACCTGTTGTACTGAAGCAATTAACTATCTACATGGAACTGAGTTCTGGAGAAGCCAATAATTGTTCAGCCACTCAAGAAATTACCAGTATTTTATGAAACCAAAAGGTTCATTAGTATGTTCACAAGAGCTCATCACTGGTCCCTATCCTAAGTCAGATGAATCCAGTCCTTAATGATCAATTTTGATGCAATAATCTACATGTAGGCCTTCTTCAGATTTTAAATACTGAAACCCTATTTGCACTTCTATATGTGCTGCATGCCTTGCAATGTACTGAAGCAAAAGATACATAATTTAATATTTTTTATCAGTGCATAAGATAGAGCTAAAACCATCTAGTTTTCAGGGGTAGCCTTGAAGGTGGGACTTCTTGTGCTAGTAAACTTCATGTTTTATCTTGTAAGGCCATTATCAGGTACTTTTATCTGATTGGTGCAGTGTATAGCTTTTTTCTAGTTCATTGTTATGGGACTTCGTTAAAACTGGTTCCAAATTATTGTTGAATGTTAAAATGTTTTTTATTTTTTTTTATGGTTACACTGTAAGACTGAAATGCAATAAAAGTAGCATATAAATAGTCCAGGAGCACAGGAAGAAGTTGCTCCTTCAAGGCTGCCTCATGAAAGTACATTAGTTAACCAGTGCAAAAGGATACTGAAATAGGATAAAATTCAGCGCTACCTTTTTCTTGTTTATTTCATTATAAAATCTCTCCAGATCAATATAAATTGAGTCTATTCAATACATTAAACAAGGACTGGTAAATCATACGATGTAAGTAGCAGATGACGTAAGATGGTATGGCTGAGCTAAATGAGAACTGCTTATACTTTTCCCCTCCCTCCCACAGGAATATTCAACCATAGTATGCTGTTAGATTAATGAATATGGATCGTTAACAGTTGCACTAAGCCTTATTTCATGATGGTGAAAAAATTGTTAACACTTGGTTCGTCATGGTCCACCACACCAGTAATAGTATAAAAGATGATTAACGCCTTCCAGTGTGATTGATATGTTGTGTCTTTTTTAATCTTTCATCCTTTATATGTTTCGGTCGGAGGGACCATCTTCCAGAACGACAGTATCGATACATACAGAAACTACTATTACAATGTCCCAGGTCATTATGAATACATAACTACTATTACAATGTCATATACAGGGTGTCCCAGGAGGAATGTGCCAAACTTCGGGAGGGTGTTCCTTATGTTAAAGTATGCCGATA